AAGAATAGTCAATGCAATATATGTAAACAAGTTATATTTTTTAGTTGGTATTATGCTAAAATTTATATGGATCAAAATTGTGAAATGCCATTTTATACTAATGTAAACATTAAAATACAAAAACAACGAGCAATTAGTTTACTAACAAATAGACATCCTTGCCAAAATATGATGGAATCACAAACACAAGATGGATAATTTGTTTTAGAATTACATTTTTGAATAAAGTATGACTTACTCTAGATTGATTATATTTGAATTTGATTTCGAAAAATAAAGAAAAACAGTAAGAAATTCAAAGATATATACGGGTGTGGGTATGAATGTGTACTTGTAGATATGCATAACATGGGCACATCTCAAGAGTTGTTTCTTTATTCGTTGTTGGTGAGATTTCGTTTGCATACGAAGCCAGAGGTAATAGCGGATATGAGATTAGAATCAGAAGAAGAGCTACACGCTTATTCACACTCTTATGATCTCTACTATCAAAAAATATTTGTTTTTCAATGAAAATGTCATTCTTGAGTGAACGAACTGACCTCTATGATATTCATGCATGAGTAAACGATAAACATTTTCTATCTACAAAGTTTCGTTTGTTTTTGACTGTAGGTGTGAGTGTGAAAATCATGAAAGTGATCATGATGGGACTTGAAGATAGTATTTTGCAATCTCAAAATACGCTATAATGCCTATTGAAAATATCCAGGATTTTTCACAAAAGATGTTAGGATAATGAGATCTTGAAATGATGAAAATTTCAGCTCGATCCGAGATATTTTTGTATTAGGTAGAAGGTTTTCAGTAGAATTACTCGGATGAGTATGGACAAGAATGATAAATGGTTGTCTTTGTGACGACTATTGCTCATCAATGACCAATGAATTTTCAAAATAAAATAGTTTAAAAGATCAAGCAATATTTACTGTATTTCGAAAACTATCAATTGGTTTGACAAAATGTTGTAGAAAGAATTTATGAAGTTTTTCTGAAAGACATAATATTTGTGATTGAATTAGGGTATAACATTTTATGAATCATTTCTTCTTGAATGAAATTAAAAAAAAATATTTTTTGTTCTACATGGAAGTTTTTTTTATTCATTTACCAATTCAAATATAAAGCTATTTGTACATGACACAAGCGAATAGGTTAAGCATAACTATATTCAAAATCATATTAGAATTCGCTGACATATAACATCATATTACAACGTTATGTAGACTTTGATGAAAAACAAAGTTTTCTGCAAAACGCTTTTATAAACTACTGTAGTTTTAATGTTCCGATTCAAAAAGTTCATTCAAATAAAAGTAAAATGTCTAACTAGTTATCATTTACGAATATATATGACCAAAAAATAAAGCAACAACACAAATAATAACCTATAATGACACAATGGAGACAACAATAAACTGTGTAAACTTGTATTGTGGTCACATGATCTTCATATATTGCCAAAATGAACAGTCTGAAAAGATATTATTTACATGTTTATTACAATAAAAATTCAATTTCATTTTTAAAATTGAATACAGACACTTTATATGATAGTCTTTGATAATATTTTATCAGTCCTTAATGGATATACAATCATGCATCTCAACTTAAAAGTTACATCAGCAATTACAAAAAGTATAGTTTGTTTTTTTGATGAACATCTCTTTGGTTTTTCTCCATAGGAAAAGTTGATCGATAAAAACAAAGGAAACAGTTTTGTAGCTGCCGATGACATGCATAAAAAGATCATATGATTGTATATCTATCAATGACTAAAATATGATGTCGACTGCATTCTATTGATCTCGAATCTGAAGAAAAATAGATAAATGCGTAAATAGAAAAATGTCTAATTAATCTGAATGGAAATATGAACGAAGTGAGGAAAGAGAAAGAAGTTCTGCAGAACGTTTTCAAATAGTAAATAGATAAAAATATAAATAAATAAATATTAATCTAACATTAATTTAATTATAGTTTTCAATAGAATTGATTAATTGACTAAGAGAAAGAAATTTTAAATAATTATCAATATTTTTAATGTCGTTCATTGACATTTCTGATTAGTTCTCAATAACATAGATCTTTTTTTTTCCTTTACTTTTTATAGTTGTCAATAAATAATTGACTTAATCCCTATAGATTGTAAGTCATTGTTTTGACTTCAAAGGTTAGTTTCTCCCACTATTATTCTTAGATCTAATTTCCTGCTAATTCTTTAGTTAAATACTATCTCTACTTTATAGATCTTGTCATCATCGGTTTAGAGAAGATTGATCTATTTGAAAGTAAACTAGAACTATCTCAGATTGAAAGGAAAGCTTGAGCAATTTTTAAAATGTTTACGTTTTCTATGTATAGATCTGCCCTGATGAATAATTGACTACTCAGTACTTTCTAATACAATTAATTGTTTGTCAGTCCAGATAAGATCTCTCGGACATTTGTGCATTATATGAAGCAAAAATAATAGAACAAATAATCTTAACAGAAAATTTGATTATTTAAACTTGTCGAATCAAAAGTCATAATTATTTCTCCATCATATGCTATGTATGACCTCTAACAGGAAGTCAATTATTAATCGATTTAAACTCTAAATTCGATTTCCTTATATTTCAAAACTATGACGGAAATTCAATTTTAATGATCAAGATTTATCCGCTGTTTATGCTACTCTAACAGTCACTATTTATGTGTCAATCAGTAAGCTGAAATCATTACCGTACAAGAGTTTTTTTCGTTTTAATTATCTTACTGCTTCAATAATCAAGTCAAACTAATCTACGATATTAAAAGTGAGATTGATTTGAAAATCTCAAGAATTGTCATATTGTTGATCAGCACGAAAACTGTCTAGACATTATGATGTTTTCGAAAGTGCTCCTATTCCTTGCATTGCAATGTCTCATTCTTTTATTAATTGAGACTAGTAATGTTCTATATTTGAAAATTTTTTTTATTTCTTCAAGACGTAAGAAGGATCATGATTGACTTCAGATATCTTAGAGTAATGAAACGATTCAATGCTATTTTCCCTTTATATATGTCTTGAATTTTTTCTCTGGAGACAAAGACTGAAAGCGACCAATTAGGGTGTGGGTGTGGGTTAGAGGGAGACCAAGACCTACACCTACGTCCACAAGCACACACTCACTCACCCATATCTCACACCCGAAATATAATTTAAATAAATCGAAATCTGAATATTGATTCAATTGATTTATTAGAAAAAAGGGCAAGGATCTAACGTTTATTAAAATCGATATTTCTTTTTCTTACCTTTAATTAATTGATCCAGTATTAATTTCCATAACAAGATCATTTATCGTTATATATATAGAAACTTGTGCGCAACTTGAGTTTATGTTGAATCCAAATGAAAATCTTTATGAAAACAAGAAAAGATTTTAAAAAAAATATCTATTTTGTTTTTATTATTGGATTTTCATTTAAATATATAATATAGATAGTTGATGATAAAAGTAATCTATAAGATGTTGATCAAGATAAAAATCTTCATTAAATTGTAGATGAATCTTCTACTGATTTATCATTGAATAACCTAATCGAATATGTTAGTTAGAAATATTCAATATAGATTTTTCTATTTGTTTTTCAACTGATAAATAACAATTATTAAAAGGTAAGATTTCATTTGAAGAAAACAAAAGAAATTTTTTTAGGAATAGAAAAAAGTAGATTTTACTTTTATATTTCCAATAGAAAGATGATGAAATGAAATAAATAAAATAAACAATGATAAAATTGTTCTTTTTAATAATTCTTATTAAACATAGAAGTATCATTCAACGAATATTAAAATGATAGAGATTATGTTTTAAATCTATATTGAAATATTTCAATATTATTTCAAGTTGATAATAGAGAAGATTGAACTGAATAATAACGAATTATATTCAAATGTATTTGTAAAAGATCGATGCTATACCAATATGATATTTTGGTAAATCATAGATTTACTTTCTTTTGATAGATAAGTATATTGATAGAATTTATCTTATGCATGATAATGGAATAGACGACCTTCTATATCAGCAGAAACTCTATTTGACAAATTTCATATATTTTATTTGTGTAATATAGAAAACAATATCTCTGTTAGGTTCGTAAAAAATTCTTAATTATAAATAAAATAGGAATTTGATGACGTTGAACTTTCGATGAAACTGGTCGATTATTATCTTGATCATAAACTTCGAAACCATCAATAACTGTATTATTTAACGTTTCATCTAAAATTTGTTTAACTTTATTAAAATAAAATTATTCTAAATAAATGATTTATTGTTGAACTTGGATCATTTCAATATTATAAATGATACTTAAACAAGACTAACAAAAATATAAAATATGAATTTTTTCATTTATAATAAAAGAAAAAAGAGAATATAAACTTGTATATCTATAAGAGTAAAATATGCATCGAAATTAAATCTTTGAAATATTTTCATAGAATGAACAAGTCTTTTTTTGAAAATGTTCATTTTTATTAACATCTACCATAAAGAGTAACCATAACAGATCGTTTTTAGTTATCTACCCGATCCAAATTTGACATTTAAAATTCATCATCTGATTGATCATATTTGACTAAAATCATTCAAACAAATATATTCAAGATGAACCACAATAATAATTATCTTCAGATAGAATATCTAATGCATTTACATTTCATAAAATTTATTAATGCGGTAGAATAGTTCAATATGTGACATGTAAACGTATAAGATAATTCTAATGATGGTAGATTTATGTTTCAAGTTGAACAACTGATCGATAAATCTGAACTCTATATTTAATATAATATTATGATAAAACAAATAAAATCATATCCAAATATTGATCCTATTGATTTCATATAAAAAATAATTATTCTTGAAAAATATTCATTTTCATCTTTTCTCTCTGTCGATTATTTTGTAAACAACGAAGATCTGTTGAACATCGTCATAATTATCGAATAAATTCATAAAAAAAAAATTATCCTTTTGACAAATAGACAATCAATAATCGTTTTATTTGCCTCTTTCAAATTGAACCAATGGAATTAGTGAATACAATTCAAGTTCGTTAGGTGGGGATCTCTGACATAGATAGATATATTTCAGAAGAAAAAAAAACATTCATCAATATTCACATTTGTTCTACTATAGAATAAAGTAACGCTAATAACACCGATGAGAAAAAACTAAATCGACGACGACCAAAAAAAAGAACAATGTCTTTCAGTTGTTCTTAGTCGAGTTTGTCTTTGTGATGATGATGAATACCAAACCATCGACGTAAGATCTTGAATAGTTCTAATGGACAAAACAAAAAAAAGAAGATAGAATTGATGATTGTACACTTAAATAATTGGATATTGACGATAGAAGTAGTTGAACTATTTCTAAGAGTTCGATTTTATTTCTTTTACCTATACTTAGAAGGACTAACTAAGCTATGAAAATGTTTCTATTCCTAACTCTTCGATCTTAAAATCTAACGAATCTTATGATTAAGAAAAATTTTTTTTTTATCTTATAAAAATTCTTTTTTCATATACTATTATCATAACGCTATTTAGTTTTAACATCGTATATGAGATGTAGATTGTATTAGGAAAGTAGAGATACTCATAGCTGTATATTCGAAAAAGGCAAATTTCCCTTTCGAAAGCCTATTCAATAGAGATAGTCTTCCAATCAGTAGTTGAATTGTCGTTGAGAAAAGTTCATAAAATTGTTCAAGCATTTTTCTTCATTGGCTTGTTTCGATCCAACGAGAAGAGTTGAGAGACACTTTAAGCAAATCCAGACAAAAAAACCACAGACAAGTAATTTTCTTCTTAAAACTATCTTTATTCGATTGTCTCGAAGTTAGTTATACCATATTCTTTTTAGTCTCTACTGTATTGTGATTGTTGAGAAAGTTAATTTTTTAAAAACTTTCCATCAAAAATTCTTAAAAATTAACAAAAAGGTATGTTTACTATAAAATCCACAATTTTTCTATAGTATTTTTCATGTAGATTTCATTAAAAACAACAAAAAAAATGATTTTCCTAACCATTCTCAAGTAGAGATTTGTTCACAAAAATCTCAAAACTTGAACAAAATTGACGCTCTCAAAGACGATGATAAAGTGAAACTGAATGCATTTTCTAGTCATCCCTATTTCGCATAAGATACAACAAAAAAATTATTGAGAAAAAATTGCGCGTCATCTCCAAAACTCATTTAAAAAGGAAAGAGTTTAATATAAGATTTTAACAGAGAACATCGGAAAAATTGTTTTTTTTTGCAACGCAAAAAAAAAAAATATAAGGAAAGTTGATATTTGTCGTGAGTATTTAAATGAGTAGAAAATATCATTTGATTGAATTTAAATGAAATCATGTTGAAAAATATCCAATCGAATAGAAATATCTTCAAAATATTTTCAAGCATATAGTTATGGACATGTTTGGAAATTTCAATAGTTTTTTGAGAAGATCCACAACGAAAACTTATATATTATTTCAGACTGTTGGGCTCTTAACTCCAAATGTAATTATTCAGCTTTTTCCTTTTTTATTTTATTTCTTGAGAATGTTCGAGTTTGATTTCTATTGAACTGAAAAAGAATAGAAACCTTCTATGAATCTCTATCCATACTTGATAGTTATTATCATTATAGTCTATTCTGGTAGAAATAAACAAATAGTGAATTTGAAAATAGCGGATAAAACGAATTCGAATAATATATTTTTCGAGAAATTTAGTTTTATCGTAATATTCACTCGAACCACTCGGAAAGGAAACATTTGGAAAAAAATGTTGAGATGGAGTAGAGATGAGCTATTACATAAATAGAAATATTTTCAAACAATGTTAGTCGACATAGTAGACTTCGAATATGTTCACAACTTTTCTTTCCTTAACTTTTTAATGATCTTTCGAAGGAGATGTTCCTCAAAAAAATTGACAAGAATTTTATGTTTTATAATCAGCATACTATTTTTGCTAACTAATTAAAATCTTACTAGTTTCTCGATGATCATCATTGGATAATGTATTATTTATTTGTTCTTGTTCTTTTTCTTGTTCGTGTTGTCGAATAATTGATGGCGATGGTGACGATTATGATAATGTTTGCTGATTCTATAAATATGTTAGAAATTGAAAAGAAAACATTATCTTGTACTTACATTTTAAAAATCAATCACTGCTAACATATGATCCTGAAAGATAAGTATACCAGTATTAGATATAAAATAAATGTCTCTAACTTACAACAATTTTTTCCATTTTGTTTAATTTATCATCTTCAATTGAACCATCATTTATTTTATTTAATACCTAAATAAGTAAAGTAATATTTTTATTTGATCTTATCATAAGATGATTGTTTTCTTGCTTGAGAAAGATCGGCTATTATTTCTCGTTTGATGTCGTCCATTTTCAACTAGAAAAAAAAAGTTAATGATCGGAAGATCTATAAACTATGCGAATAAAGTCAAATATAATCCAGCAATATGATAATGATAAGTGAAGCATAATCTGTATCAAGAAGAAAAATTAGTTTTTTATATGAATGATCTCATATGACGGCGGAAGGAACAAAACAAAAACGACAAGTTATATCGATCAATAGAAAATAAAGAACAGATGTCGCTCTCTAATATGTGTCACTTTAATAAGCGAAGGGTGTGGGTGTGGGTATGGGTTTGGGTGTGGGTGGCTGGGTGTGGGTGTAGGTGTGGGTGTGGGTGTGGGGTGTGGGTGGGTGTGGGTGTGTGGGTATCGATATCATTGAAGAATTCATCCACACCCACACCCACACCCACACCCACACCCACACCCACACCCAAACCCACACCCACCGACACCCACACCCACACCCACCCCCACCCCCACCCCACACCCACACCCCCCACACCCACACCCATACCCACACCTACACCCACCCCCACACCCACACACACCCACAATAACTTCTCACCCCTACTTTATTAGGAATGATAATATTGGAAATAAATATGTGTGTCGGTGCTGGGTCTTCTGTTCATTGACATTCACATTCCACCCTATCTCTACCAAGTTGTACACTGGCATAGTACCGGATTTTTGGTATCTCAGCGATTTTGGTCAAAGTTGTGCTGCTTTCAATTGGATGGAACGTACGTCATTTGGTGTAGCTCATCGAGTTGCATCGAATAAGCTATATCTTAGTAGTGGCTCAGGTGGGGAGCAAATGATCAGAGACAAGCTTTTTTTTTAATTTTTTTTCTATTAGAGAAAATCAATACTTTTGCTTTCATTTGTGTGGGTTAGCTTTCATGAAAAATCTGAAGACAACATGCGATAGAGATCGTCAAGGTGCATTTATCTCATTGAATTTCTGAGTCGACTCAGTGAATGGGGCGAATCGTTCTTGACAAAACTCGAATTGGCTGCTTACTTCCTCTACATCATCATCATCATATATTTTTATGGAAATTTTGCTCTTTCCTTCTTTATCATTGAATGATCATTTAAAAACAAATGAGTCATAGTAAAAAACGAAAAGAAAGTCAAATGAAAAAATGTCAATTCAATGCCGGATTATTTTCGGCGAAATATTGAAGGCTGTCGGAGTTCATGAGTGCCTTGGCCGGATTGCTTTGAGCTAAAAGTTGGGCCTTGCTTTGACCATATGCATGATCATCCGTATCGGCCACTACTGTGAAATGAGCTAATTCGTGAATAATCGTGCCACCCTTGCTGTCCGTACCGGTCATCGACGATGGCCAGTACGAACCGCACAGGTATATTTTATAGTGCTGGTTTGGATAAACGTAGGCGTAGTAATCCTGAGCATGTGAAAGAGGGCACGAACAGTCGAATACCAGCGACTTGCTATGTAACGCACTTTGAATTTTCGAGAAGTGTGATTTTAATGTGTTCCAATTGTTGGACAAATATCCGCCGAACCAAGTGGTGTAGCGTGCCGTGCCCGATGGTTGTCTGTTCAAATGGTTCATGGCATCGTTAGCATAATTTTCAGCCACAGTAATTGCACTTCTAATGGAGCTGGATTGACTGGCTGTACAACTAATAAAAGTGGGTGTGAGTGCTCTCGGTTGTGTGCTGGCCTCGATAGCTTGTTCGATCAGTAGATTCCGATGACCTACGACAAACACCACGACAGGAGCTGACTGTAGTACAGACTCTTGACCATCATAAGATGACATGATTTTATAGTTGACTATATCATCCATTGTAGTCAGTACCTGGTCAGCATTCATTTTGTATTGGATCATATAGCTGTCTGTCTGAGTCATATTATATACTGATGACAGCTCTACCATAGTGCTCACGGTCATGCCCGGTGTCAAGTAGATCACATCTTCAGCTGTTGGCGCGCGTCGCTTAAATATTGGACCGACATACTCGACACGCTCTCCATTTCGAGTCACTTCGAAGATTGGGTCACATAGTTCCTTTTCAGGCAAGTACCATTTGTAAATACCCATCGAGTCACTGCCAGTGTTGGTGTACTTCAGGAGGACATTTACTTTTTGTGTTGCAGCAAATTTTGATTGCATCGGAATTACTTCGACGCGTAGGTCTTCTGGACGACCATTGACCACCATAATCGCAACAGCGATGTATATAACAACCCAATATTGTTGCATCGTTGCTCCTTGTGTTATAACCGACTTGCACGCTACTGGTCTTTAGTGAATCTGAGGGGTGTGAAACGAGCTAACATTATATAGCAAAAGCCTAATGGATTGTTTTGATAAAAAATAATATGCAACTAAGCTTCATCAAATACGAAAATGAAAAAATGCGATTATTTTTTATCATATTGCGCACATCTGAGCTTTGTAATTTGACTCCAGTGAATATAGAGTCTTACAACTAGGGTGTGGGTGTGGATGGATGTGTAGGTAAGGGTGTGAGTATGGGTGAGGTGTGTATGGATGTAGATCTAAGTTAGGTTGAATATTTGGTAGGACTTTCCTTCCAAAAATCGATTTCTATTGATTTTTGACTCACCAATGGAATTTCGAAGCACATGGAGCTCAGACTTGCAATACCTATCCTACTTTATCCCTAGGAAGTTGGTTTTCCAAAAAATTCGACTTCTATGGATTCTTGGCCGTTCAGTAGAGTTTTCAGGAAAATAAAGTTCAAATTCAAGTTTATCACTCTTGATAATCTATTTCAAATTGGGATAGAACCTCAAAATATCGACTCTGTGATTGAAACACATGCTTTCCATTTTAACACAAATTAGAGCGCAGACAAACTCACTAGAAATTTCGATGACGTAGGTGAAGTTAGCATCCGATTCGCCCAGGAAGTGTTCCAAATGTTCCCGTTTGTGTTCCAAATAGAGTTTGACGTGCTCTACCTAGTAGCACGGAGGAAAAAGATCTGGAGCACATCTTGGGCAGATTGATACTTGAATTATATCCTGAGTTTCCTATAGCGTATGCGGAAAAACCAGTATTCTTCAATTTGTAAAAGTATGGTTTGAGATGCCATAAATCTGATTTCACTATTCGATAGAGCACATCGAGCTCTGCTCGAAACATAAACAAGAACGCCTGGGACGCGTCCTGGGCGAATTTCGGCTGGAATTACTCTATGGGTTCCCGATGACCCATGGTGCAGAATCGGTATTTTTCAACTTGTAAACATATAGTTTGAGATAGCGTAAATCGGATTTCACCGTTCGATAGAACACGTCGAACTCTACTTGGACTACAAACGAGAACACTTGGAACACTTCCTGGGAGAATCGGGGCTGGAAATACCCGAGTTGAATATTAACTTCACCTATCCATTCCCGGCTCCGTATATTCGTCCTCTCAGAATTGAGGATAAGAAAAAGAAATATTGAAAAAGAAACGATTTTAGTTCTCTCTTCTCTATCATATACTATTTCTCCAGTCTGTGCTTGTCCATATGTTCTATTGTACTTTTATATATTCAAAATGTTGATCATATCTTCGACTCCTAGAACATTTTTATGAATTGTTTTTTTTTCTATATTGCCTTTGTCAAAATTAAATGTTATTCGGATAAAAAAGGTATTAAATATCAAATCAGCATTGATATTTATTATGTAATAGAAGCACACGAACACAAAAGCTTTAGCCAAATAGTTTATTCGATATGAAAGAGGTTATAGCGATATATTTTGAATAATCAAATGAAAGAAAAGTTTTATTGCATATAATCGACCTTGAACTTGTTATTTTACTGATCGTTGGTTAGCTAATAACCATTCATCATAATCATCGGAAGACCGCTGTTCATCTTCTATGACAGATTGTATGACACAATCGAATGATTCACCATTCTTGACAAAATAGTCAGACAGTGGACGTTGATTATCCCAATTTTCAAACTGATTTAAACGTCCAAAGCGTGAGTTTGGTCGTACATTCAATTTTGTTTTTAACTCACCAATTGTCATCGATGACGGAATATTGTTTAAATCTACTGTCGCATCACTTCCCTTCGAAGATATTTGAACTGTAATGCTGATTAAATCAGTGCCAGAAGATGATATAGATGCCATTCTTTTACCCTTGTGCTGCAAATAGACCAGAAAACAAGCTTAAAAACTATACAATTCATCATGAAAGACTATTAAAAGTCGCTATTAGAGAGCAAAGATCGATTCTACTCTGCTGAAGATCAGAAACTTCTACTTGAAACACCAATTAGAACTAAACCGACTATATTTGGAAAAAACTTTGAACAAATCCTTATCTCTAATTTTGTAGAAAGTTAATTTCAAATATAAGTCTTCTATTCTCGTCTTTTGAAACTCCTACATACAGTGACTACGAATATATCCAACAAGTAAGCAGACTTTTTTTGTTTTGTTTATATTTCTAAAACTAGATGAGCAAGAATAATCTGGTTCTCATCACATCATAGCTCATGACTTGGACTTTAATCAAGGAAAATCCATGGTCGATCTCTCTATCTATTCAGATTTTATTGATGAAACAATCGAAGTATGCCATTTTTCATTCTTCCAAAATTATCTAAACAAGTTATTTGCGTAAGTTCCTGTACGCTCTCTTTAATATAAAATTTTCTTCATAACATATCATTCGGAAGAGCGAATTGTGCTCTATGCAGTGGCTAGTTTTTATCGAAGGTTCCATTGATTATGGACGAAAAAAAAACAGCGGTTTGGGACTCGGGTCACAAATATCAGGCAAAAAAGCCATAAAACATGAGGGTGTGGGTGTGGCTTGAAAAAGATATAGAGACACCCACACCCACACCCACACCCACACCCCACCCACACCCACACCCACACCATTCTTCAATATAATGCACAAATATAAATCTTCGATAACTACGCTCTCTCTTCATTACACTACTACTACAATATTTTACTTAAAAAAATTTTTTTTTAATTTAATTGATAACTTAAACATTTATTGCCACACATTAAGTAATACTATCATTAAATAATTATAAAAAAAACATCAACCAGTATAAATGATTAAAAATCAAACAAACTGTCACACAATTATAATTTATAAAATACAATAATTTCTTTACGTTCATTACAAAAACAAATATTCCATTTTACTAAAAGTGAGAAAAAAAAATTATATGATCACATTGATTTTAAATCTTAACTTTTATTTTTTGTCGCACAATGAAAACAACAAAACTAAGAATCATTTGTTGCTTCAATTCAACCAACAGCATATTATCCTAATATCAAAAGAAAATTTTCGAAATAAAATACATCATCTTTAAGCGACCCCTATTTTATCTAGAACCATTATTTGTCATTCTTGACGAATTCTCTCTCTCGTCCTTATCATGTAATATTTGAATGATCATTTAATATATATTATTACATTTTTTTTCTAAAATTTAAAAGTTCAATTTATCAATGGTTTATATATGAATTTTTCTAATTAACAATAATGAATCAATTTCATAAAAGGCCCGTTTATCTTTTGTTTCGTAAACATGATTATTGATCTTTACCGTGACACGACATTTACGCGCGCGACAATTGCGCGCCGGCGCTTACGCGCCGACATTTACGCGCAGGACATATGCGGACAAGACGTGAACGCGCACGACGCTTGCGCGTAAAATAAATTTTTTTTCGTTCTGTTCTCATCTAATTGAATTACTCATATGTATTAACAGAAATAAAAATGTTCTGTTAGTGAGATTGGATTATTAAGAAAATACATAAAAGATACTAATGAGAATCAAAAGATTATCTAATTTTAACATCAAATATGCTTTTTGCATCAAAATGAGATTAAAACTAGACAAAATAAATCAGATAAAAGTATAAAGAGAAAGCATATATATATATATATATATATATATATGTGTGTGTGTGTGTGTATTATTTTAATAATTTCTAAGATATAAATATGTCTCTTATAAAATCAGTCAAAGAGAAAGACCAACTTCTACTTGATGATTATCGATACCGTCGAGATAGATTAGTTTGGCGCTGTGTTACAAACAACTGCAAAGGACGTGCTCGTTATGATGATGGAATTTATACAACTTATCAAAATCACATATGTCGAGCATCAGATCCAGATGAAATTGAAAAAGCATTTTATAATTATGAAATTAAAAAGAATGCGCAACAATGTCATGATCCACCACGATTAATCATTCAAAATGCTCGTCTTAAAATATCATTAGATGCTGCAATTAACATTCCACAATACACAGCATCGCAACGTTCAATTCAACGTGTTAGACGAGATAAAGATGTTCAAACAGAACCTAAAACATTTGCGGATATTATTATACCATCAAATTATCAAGTTAATGCATTAAATGAACAATTTCTTTTATATGATAATAATGACAATCAACGACGAATATTAATCTTTGCTACAAAACAACATTTAGATTTTCTTAATGAATGCGAAAGTTGGCATTGCGACGGCACTTTTGCCGTAAGTAGTATAGGTATAACTAAAGTAATTTTAATATGTTTCTTTATTTGCAGGTAGCACCTAAGCTATTTGAACAAATGTATTCTATTCATGGTTCAATTCGTGGTAAAAAAATTACCATTATTATATTCACTTCTACCAAATAAAGATCAAAAAACTTATGAAGAATTATTTCGAATAGTGGCTCAACATGTTCGACGAAAACCTGATTATATTACCATCGACTTTGAAAAAGCAGCAGAAAATGCATTTAATGTTATATATCCAGGATGTGAAATTCTTGGCTGTTTTTTTCATTTTAAAAAATGTATTTGGAAACATATTTGTGTGAGTAAACTAATTATTTCAGTTTACCTTATTAAATAATTATTTTGTAGGAATTACATTTAAAAAAAGAATTTCTGGAAAACCAAAATAATCGTCGAACTATGAAAAATTTAGCAGCATTAGCTTTTGTTCCACCTAATAATGTTGTTGAAGAATTTGGACGCATAAAAGAAAATGCATCTGATATTTTAGATGGTAAGAAACTTTATATATTAAATTTTTATTACATATTGTCAAGTTTTAGATTTGATTTTGTATTTCGAAAATAATTTTATTGGAAGAACAATGACTCGCAATCGCAGAAAAAATCCTCGATACGATATCAATATGTGGAATTGTTTCGAAAGAATCAACGAAGATTTACCTCGAACTAATAACGCCATAGAGGGATGGCATAATGCTTTCCATGTACGTGTAACTAAACTTCTTATTTTTGTAATTAAGTATCTCATATTTAGAATGTTGTCGGCGATCATCCTAGCTTTTTTACATTTATCAAAGACATTGTACGAGAAGAAAAAAATACAACAATTGTTTGGAATCAAGTTCTTGCTGGCACACACACACAAACCAAACGCACAAAATATGAAAAAATTGATCTTCGAATACGAAACATGATCAAAGAATTTCATACTGTTTCAAGGAACGACTATTTTAAAATGGCCAGATCAGTGTTTAATTTATGATTGACTACGTTCTTTATTCTCAATTATTGTTCACTTAGCGTATTTGTTTATTGTAAATAAATACTATTTATCTCTGATAATAATTTATATCAATATATCTTTTGAAATTGGGAACTATTTTTCTATCAGCAGTTAAACATAAATTTCCGCCCGTTCATAATTCAAATCAAATTAAAGAAAAAAATAATTTATCATCTTTTTCTCAATTCGCGCGCAAGTGTCTATACGCGCAATCGTCGTGCGCGTAAGTGTCATGCGCGCAAATGTCTGCGCGTAAGTGTCGGCGCGCAATTGTCATGCGCGTAAATGTCGGTCAATCGATCTTTACGATTTTCTTTATATGAATACATCTACACATTAAAAAAAATTATTAAAAATATAAAATAAAAGTCTCACATCTGCACAATTAACAATTATTTATCCAAATTGGTAAGTTATATGATTTATAGTTAAGATAAGCTAATGATCACAACATACCATTAAGAAAAATCAGTAATACATTACAATAGTACCATTCTATTTAGTAAACTTAGCAATATACTAAATCGCTTGATTTAATATATTTAATAGCAAATCATTAGAGAAATATTAGAAATGAAAATCCACTAGTGAAGAAACCTAAAAAAAATATACGAACTATAGTTAGATTTTAATAGATTTTTACGTACGTTTGACAGGAAAAATAAACTTTTGACATCAAATAAGTTTTTCTTCATAAACTTCATTACGAACAATAGTTAGATTTTAATAGATTTTTACGAACGTTTGACATGAAAAACATACTTTTGACATAGAACAAGTTTTTTTTTTAAAGTTCATTACTAACTATAGCTAGATTTCAATGAGCTTTTACAAACGTTTGACAAGAAAAATAAAACTTTAACATGTACTAGTTTTTTGTGTACTCAAAAAGTGAGTACACTCTAGAATCGGTCAGTATGTCCGGCCGGCCGGCCGTCCGGCCGTTTACACGATAACTTTCGAAAGGAGAGTCCGATCACGATGAAATTTTCTATACAGTTCAGTTTTTACAATGTCTCGGTCGAGTTCGAAGATGAAAAGGATCGGCCGAGCCGTTCCTGAGTTATTGCAAAAATACCCATTTTTCCCTATAGCTTCCTATGGAAAAATCGACCCATCGCCGCTTTCGTAAAAGACTTTTCCTATCATAGTCGATTAAAACCCCAACTATTATATACCATTCGATAGAGAATTTCAAGAGCTACAAAATGATATATAAAACATGAGGAAACAGGAAGATTATCTCACCCATCGCAAAGATAAATAGGGAAGAATCGGTTCTGTTTTTGTGCACGCTCTAATTGATCATCAATTAGAGCTCTATCTTTCGACCATAAAGATGATAATCGAAGATTTTCTGGGGCGAAGAACTAGAATCTGCACTAAACTTGGCTCGAAGCCCCATTAGTTGAATATTGACCAATAGAAATCATGTTATAGGAAAAACGACTTTCTCAGTCAGGCTAAATAAATCCGAACAGGTGAAATTTGAGGTCTATACGCTCCTAAGTCCTACGGTTGAACAGTAGGCAATGGAATTCAAGGGTTTATAAAAAAGGTTTGTCACGGAAATTTTTATATCCAGACATTCGAGGATGACCGATTTGTCTCATTCACTTTTTGAAGTACACATAACTCTTGGATTTAAATCCGAGATTTCCACATTTATTTTAAAGCTCATTACGAACTGTAGTTAGATTTCAACGTACTTTTACGAACGTTTGAGATGAAACATAAACTTTTGACATAGGAAACAAAATAAAATATTCCATTGTGGTCATTAGACTTATCGAACTTAATCATATAATTTCTTATATAAAAAAAGATCTATTTGTAAACAAATGTTTACACGGCAGTAAATCTCACGGCAGTAAATCATGTAAACGGGGTACGTTATTAGAATGACTATTAAATCATAGGTAGTCACAGGAAAAATCTCTTTCTGTAACAGACAAGCACAAAAAGACCAAAAAACGACCAAAAACAAGTTACAGAACAAAATTTTAGTTTATAGCACTTATCATCACAGAGTTTTCATCCTTCAACTAATTCCTTGGCTGTCCATGCTTCATTATTTTCAATATATCAAGCTAATTCCGCTGAACGACATATTTACTCTTGCAGCAAAAAATACATATAATGGAAGAACTGAAATAAACAAAACTAATATACGCTCCATAAGCAACAGTAGCGAGAATCTTCTTAGTTGTCAGATGAAACCGATGAAACGCGCTTCGATAACTCCAGACTGACCAAACTGACATTTTCAGTCAAAATTTAAAAGTATAAGACGAAAACTTGATAGTTGTTTTTTCGGACGTTCAGCTTTGCCGAACACCCCTTCTTCCCTTGCCCGATTTTTCCCGTCTTTCGTCAGCTCCTTCTTTTCTTTTATTGCGGATGTCCTTTATAGATGCGCCCTTTCACCTCATGATGGTTACACCCTATCTCTTCAATGACATTTTTTTGCACATAATGGAAAAAAAATTGTCCTTTCTATTGCTTTTTGTATACGTCATGAGTATAAAAAGCCATAGAATGGACAATTTTTTTCCATTATGTACAAGACAATACACTTGAAGAGATAAAGTGTTATCATCTTGAGGGGAAAGTAGTTATAGTATATTTAAAGACTTCATTTTGAACAGAATTAAATTCTCTACAAGACTATATCTTTGACAATATTTGTTAACTTGGTTTTCTAGCTGAAAAACTAGGAATAATCAAGGATCTTTAAGAGCAACTAATTATAACTAGTATTTAGTGGCTCTTCTATTTGATTGATTTTAACAAAAAAGGACATAATCTGATTCAGGTTTTTTTCTCTATCAAATCAATATTATTTTTTTGGTTTGTAAAGTATATCAACGTGTAGAACACTCTTTCTTTGATCAAATGAGATATTATTGATAATATTTTAATATCGAATAACAGCACTGTAAAAAGAAAAACATCTGTCTCCAACAGAGACCGTCACAGGGCAACGCAAAAACTTTGGCCCTGATGAATTTTCGAAACCTACCTAAAAAAATTTCTGATCAGTAATTTTTATATTCTGAGAACTATCAATTGATATCACTGTGATTTCATTGACAGAAGTGAAACTTTGATAATATTTGGTGGTGAAAGTATCGGAAATGTTCATTGAATATTATCAATTACATTGAATTGTAGCGACATCCAATACAATATATGCATATATACAAAAAGAAAATAATGATTGGAGGTTGAATGTGATAAATGATGGATTAATAACAATTGTATAACTTAACAAGTAACTTGCTTCATTTGATTTTTTGATATCTTGTTTTAAACGTTTTCAGATTCGCATATGATCTTTCGCAGCATATTTGATTTAAATCTTCACCTCGTCAAATAGTGAGTTTACTTTTGTTTTTCTTTTGACAATTTCTAATTTCATTGTTGTTTTTTTAAATTTTCTGATTGTGTTGTTGTTCGTTTTTCATTTGTTAACCTCGTTGTTGTTTTTTATATTTCGTAATTTCGTTGCTATTTAATATGGACTCACTCGATTCTGAGAAGGTCAAGCGCCTCTTAATGTTTGAAAAATTTAAATATAAAATAATTGAAAACCCATGTCCATCCAAAGCCTTATGGTGGCGAGCATTTGGTTTTCCAGCACGATTGAATGAAGATAATCAATAGGAGAGAATTGAAGGATTTATTAGTTGTACCAAATGCATGAAAACACACATTTATAATAAATTAAGTGGCACAAAACGTTTTAAAGAACATGCCGATAAATGTTTCCCATTGTCTGAAACTTCAGAAGCTGCATCATCATCATCATCATCAACACAAGTAACCTTGAATCAAATTGGATTTACTAAATCTAGAAAATTTAATGAAAAAGATATTAAAAAAATAAAAGATTTATCGGTGGAATGGGTTTGTGGGGGGATTAGACCCTTAAGTATATTGGATGATTCAGGTTTTAGACGTTTAGCACAAGAGTGTGTTCGTTTGGGTAAGAAAAATAGATGAATACATCATTTATAACTTTTTTGTCTTTATTAGGTGCTAATTGTGGTGCATTTGATGTTTATGAACTATTACGTGGAGAAAAAACAATATCAAGACATGTTACTTCATTTGCTGCTATTTGTCGTGAACAAATAAAAGAACTTTTATCAAATCCTTTAAAAGAACATTCAATAACAATCTGTCCAGATTATTGGATAGATCCATACAAAAAAATATCTTATTTAGGTGTTAGTGTAATTATCGTTGATGACGAATATTGTTATAAATTAATTGATTTATGTTGTAAACCATCTGAATATGAAAGAAAAACAGCTGAATATACTTTAAAAGTATGTCTGATTCTTATATTCTATATCATATTAGTTATATACAAATATGAAAAATATTTCAGAGCTTTCTTTTAATTTTTATTATAATTTAGCATTCTTAAAACTAATATTTTTCTGGAATAGAATAAATTTAAAAGGATTTTTGGTATTTTTGCATAAATGTTTAAGAAATATAAAAACAATTTGGCTACTTTTCTTTAAGGAAAATCTTAATCTTAGTTGATTATGACTTACTAATCATTTGATATATATAGAAATGGTTTCTAAACCAGCTAGCCTCTCGGTTCTTACGAGACTTATTTGACTTTTTTCTAGCTTCAAAATTCAAATTTATTGTAATTTTCTTTAGGCACTTCATAATTGCTTGAGCTATTTCGGAATCAAGTCATTGACTGATGTGAATATCGCATGTGATAGAGGTAGTAATTTTGTTTGTGCTTTTAAAGATTTTGAACCAATCTTTTGTTATGGACATCGGTTGAACAATGTTGTTAAAATAGCCTTTTTCCAGAACAAAAAGAAAAAATAAATGCGGAAACTTCGGATTTAAATCCGAGAGTTATGTGTACTTCAAAAAGTGAACCATACAAATCAGTCATCCTAGAATGTCTGAACATCAAAACTATACTGCGGAGCCTACCATTTAAAACGTTGATTTCTATTGCGCGTTGCCAAATCAATAGGACATGGGACCGAATACAGCTCGAGTTTGAACTCTTTCCCTTGATTTACCCTAAGAAAGTCGTTTTTCCTATAAATTGATTTCTATTGGTCACTGCACAACCAATAGTATTTCGATCGAAGTGCAGTACACATTCGAGTTCTCCATATCTGAAAACCTCGAAGTATCATCACTGTGATAGAAAGACAGAGCTCTATTTGTGAATCAATTCTATTGTGGACCAAAATATAACTTAGTTTTCTTTAATTATCCTTGTGATAGGTGAGTCTACCTACTTGTTTCTTTATGTTTTATATATCATTTTGTAGCTCTTGAAATTCTCTATCGAATGGTATATAATAGTTGGGGTTTTAATTGACTATGATAGGAAAAGTCTTTCACGGAAGTCGCGATGGGTCCATTTTTCCATAGGAAGCTATAGGGAAAAATGAGTATTTTTGCAATAACTCAGGAACGACTCGGCCGGTCCTTCTCATCTTCTTCTCTCGACCGAAATATTGTCAAGACTAAGCTGTGTAGAAAGTTTCATCGCAATCTGCCTCTGCTGTCAAAAGTTATCATGGAAACAGCCAACCAGACGGACGGACACACCCAGGTGATTCAATCCGACCTGTAGATCCTACCGGAAACTATCGGATCCGATGTCGGATCACACCGGAATTCGTCGGGTTCCCAACTAAATCCGATCGGAACCCAACCGTATTTCACAGGATTCCTAACGAACGGATTCCGGATCGGATTACGTCGGAAAGGATCCGATCGGATCCTGTCGGAACTGTTTGTCAGATAATGCCGTAACCACCAGGATCCTTTCACAGAGAAACGCCTGATAACGTAAGGCTCCGACAGAATACAGTCGGATTTCATCAGAAGTTGGCTGAATCTGTTCCGATTGCACAAGGATTCAATCAACATTTCACACTGATTTCATTCTAGCATTCTCAAAATTTCCAAAGATTTACTAGAGATTTCTGACAATTTCATCCAATTTTCCTCAAGATTTCTAAAGATTTCTAAAGATTTCCCCAGCATTTCATCGAGATTTCTGAAGATTTCCCCTGGATTTCATCCAGATTTCTGAAGATTTCCCAAGGATTTCATCAAGATTTATAAAGATTTCTCAAGGATTTCGTCGAGATTTCTGAAGATTTCACAAAGATTTCATCGAGATTTCATCAAGATTTCTGAAGATTTCCCAAGGATTTCTCAAGGATTTCGTCGAGATTTCTGAAGATTTTACGAAGATTTCCCAAGGATTTCATCAAGAATTCTAAAGATTTTCCAAAGATTGAATCGACATTTTGAACACATTTCACCAGGATGTTATCAAAATTTCTAAAGATTGCATCAGGATGTCATCAAGAGTCTAAAGGATTTCCACTGTTTCAACTGGGATTATTCCTAGAATCCAACAATGTATATACTACGATCCTTCTTAAAATTGAACAATGCTTGTACGAAGATTGTTCCTAATATATAGAACTTAGTTATACAAAATGGGCAGAATTCACTTGATATATTAAAGTAGAGAGTTCCTTATATAGATCGATACCTGTAAAATAAAACGGTGAATGAAATCTGGACGAAATCGGATTTCCAGATTTTTGATTTTTGATTTTGTTGTTGAAAATTTGTAAAAAGAGAAATATCTTATTAGATAATTAGCTGATTGATCTGTCAGAATATATTCTAATTCATCAATCCAATTGCGTGGAAAACGTAATTGTAATAGGAAAAAAAATCATTTGAAATAAAATTAATCTGAGCAACACTTTGGAAATTCA